TCCTTACCCCAAGGGATCCAGCCCCAGAAGCCAATCTCCACTACCGAACCACTGCCACACTCAAGACTGCGCGGCCGCAAAGCGACCGTTCGACACATTATAAGACATTTCCTACCCATTTTCCACAACTATCACACCATATCTGATGGGGTTCAGACAGTTAGGCAACAAATCATAGAGAGAAATAGATAAATATATGCCTCTCAGAGAGCCCGGCAAGCTACCAAGAGTATCCCGTATGCATGGGCAGAGACTGGCAAGCTCCCCGTGGCATATTCAATATGCCAAATACAGTTACGACAATAGGTCTCATTACCCTGACCCTGACAGAGCCTCCAATCGTTGGGAAAAGACGAGTAAGAAGAGGCTGCTAAAATCTCAGGACTGGGAGGAATAGAGACATTACTGGTGCCCACTCGAGTAATTCAAAGGCGGGACAACAGTGATACAGTGATATATTTAAATGAATCACAGTGAGATACAGTTACAGACTTACAAAATTTTGTGATTATGTTTCAGTCATACAATGATCTAGTACCAATCCCTCCACTAGTGCCCATTCTCCACCACCAATGTTCCCAGTATCCCTCCCACCCAGTACCCGGATCCCATCCCCCTCCCCCGCCTTTGTAGCAGGCACATTCCCTTTTACTCTCTCTCTCTCCTTTTGGGTGTTATGGTTTGCAATACAGGTAGTAAATGGCCATTATGTTTGTTCTATAGTCTACTTTCAGCACGCATCTCCAATCCTGAACAAGACCTCCAAGCATCACTTACTTAGTGGTCCCTTCTCTATTCCAGCTGCCTTTCCCCCCAGCATGTGAGACCGACTTCCAGGCCATGGCGTGATCCTCTTGGTCTTTATCTCTATTATCCTTGGGTGTTAGTCTCCCTATGGTTTTAAAGAGGGATGTACGAAAGGCTGGGCTGGAGCGATAGCACAGCGGTAGGGCATTTGCCTTGCGTGCAACTGGCCGGGCCAAGCCGGGTTTGATTCCTCCGCTCCTCTTGGACAGCCCAGCAAGCTACCGAGAGTATCTGGCCAACACAGTAACAGCAAGTCTCACGATGGAGACATTACTGGACCCACTCAAGCAAATCTATGGATAACAGGAGGACCGTGACCATGACCGTGTGCAAAAGGCAGATCTCTTTTTGGCAACTGGATGGCATCCTCATCTGGCTGGCTGAAAAGGGCCTGGTTTCCTTTAGTTTTTGTTCTCATTGACATTCATAGGAGAAGGAGAGAGAGAGAGAGAGAGAGAGAGAGAGAGAGAGAGAGAGAGAGAGAGAGAGATTCCCGGTCCCCAACAAGCCCATAGCTTCTTTTAAATTTTTTTTATAAGACTGAACTCATTTAAATCACACTTTTCCCTCACTGTTGCTAGGAAAGCACCCTGTACAGACTGGCTCAAATTCAGCAGGATCCTCATCTGTGTGAGATGCATCTGTGAGAGATGCAGTGGAGACCTGAGGAGTTCTGGATGGATGGAGTGTGGGTGGGCGGGAGGGAAGAGGCAGAGTGTCTGCAAAATTCATTGGAATTTCATCAACATACAGCCACACATGTGTGTGCTTAAGAATGTGCATGGGAAGAGAGATGTGGATGAAAGTGACTACTCCATAAGTCACCAATTAGGATAAAAATAAGAATAGTCTGTTGGGGAACAGTTCCCCCCACCCCAATGGTGCCTGGACATGTTGCACACTGGGTCCAAGCAGATGTGGGGCGAAGGAAAACAGGTGCGCGGAGAAACACCCTCCAGGAGCAGCTGATGGCTGTTCACTATATTGTCTAATACACACATATTTTATAGGGGGTCTTGACTTAGGAGGATGGTCCAGTCACAGAAAGTTTAGCATTATTGGCCTATCACCTCTCCAACTCTGCTTTGCCTTGGTCCAATCCCAATCAAGGCTAGATGCTGCAGTTTAGGATGACTTGTGACATATGTGACAGTTTCTGTGTCTAGGGCTTATGTGACTAGGAGGTCAAGTGAGGCTCAAGGCTGACACCCTGTTCTTGCCAACTTTGCCCAGATAATCCCTTTTGCGAGTCTTTGCTTCTGGGCTACTTTGCAAGGTCAGGTCTTATCTGCACCAGTGTCTGTCACCATGCTCCTCAATAGTCTTTTCTGAAGAACAAATAACTTTGTTTTGCTTTTTTGTGACACACATGCTGATATGATAAAAATAATGATTTCAGACATGCTGTGGTCATGGGCCCTTGGGTTCCACTTGATGGTTTTACTTCCCTACCAGATGCCTATTTGGTGCAGGTCAAAGACGAAGGTCTCCTGTTCCTTCCCCCAACAGGTACACGTGACCTCATAGTGTGTGTGTGTATGTGTGTGTGTGTGTGTGTGTGTGTGTGTATGTGTGTGTGTGGTACACTTTACAAATACAAGAACTGGAGCCCCCTTGTAGTGTTTTCATGAAGAGTGTGGGAGCTTGAAAGGAAGCAATACACAGGCCAGGAGATGCCATGTTGAATTGATGGGATCTGTCAGAGCACAGGCGCCAAAGCAAAAACAGCATCCCGCATCCTCCTAAGCACCAGGGCTCATGGTCTGGTGAACCAGAGAACAAGACTCTCAGACTGAAATGCAGATCTGTGGTCTATATTTATTTTCTATGTGTAACAAAAGACTACAATAATGGGGCCTTCAAACAACATCCATTTATTGTCTCACAATGTACAGGTAAGATGACCAGGAAGACACAGTGAGATTCTAAGTTCTGAGTTTCCTACAGAGGAAACTCGGGCCTTGGCAAGTCTGTCTCTTTCCAAAGACTCCATTGGGGCACATTCTCCTCCAGGATCATCCCAGTTTGGGTAAGGGTGTGTTTAGTTCCTTGTAAATTCCTGAGACCTTTAAGGAAGGAGCAAGTCACAATTGGTCCTCACTAGGCATCCAAGCATTCGATCTTCTGTGGTTCCTCCTTTTTTTATTGTAACCTTGGTAAAAGCCACACCCGGGGTGCTCTGGGGTGGGGATTGAGGCACTGGAGCCTATGCTCTCACAGGTGCTCAGCTTCACCCCTGTGGCACCGGGGATGGAACACAAGTCTTAGCTCATACAAAATCTGGGTTTGATTCTGTTTGCTCACTTTCTTTCTTTCTTTTCTTTCTTTCTATTTTCTCTCTCTTCCTTTCTACTTCCTTCCTTTCTCCTTCCTTTTTTCCTTCCTTCCCTTCCTTCCTCCTTTCTTCTTTCTTTCTCTTTCTATCTATCTTTCTTTCTTTCTTTCTTTTTTTCTTTCTTTCATTTTTGGGTCACACCTGGTGATGCTCAGGGATTACTCCTGGCTCTACACTCAAGAATTACTCCTGGAGGTTTCCAGGGACCATATAGGTTGTCAGGAACCATATAGGATGTCAGGAATCAAACCTGGGTCGACTGCATGCAAGGCAAGCATCCTACCTGCTCTACTATCTCTCTGGCCCACTAGGATGTATTCTTGAACCCATCTGCAGTCTATTCCTCTTGTGCTTCTGAAGGCTAATATGATTCAACTAGGTCAATCCACCTAACCTAGGACCATCCAGTGTGACCCAACTGATTGGTAGCCTCAATGGCATCTGCAAAATCGCATTTGGGGAATAAAGAAACAGATGCACATTCCCAGAGATTAAAATATGGAATCCTTTGAGTGGACATCATTCTGCTCACCATAGACCAGAGTCTGGACCTTGCCAGTGTGACTCCTGATGAATCACCCATAGGGATACTTTGCCTTTTCCCAGGTGACCCAGCTCAATTCCACCATGCTCATACTCTTCTTCCTCTGGGAGGTGCTAGAGAAGTTAGTCCTGAAGACCAGTTTTACCTGCCACAATGGCCCAGACCCATCTAAAGAATTTGCCTGCTGGAGCTGATGAGATAGTGCAGAGAATAAGGCACTTGCCTTGCTCGCAGCTGACGTGGGTTCTATACTGAGCATCTAATACGGTACCTTGAGTCCTGCCTGGCGTGACCCCTGAGCACAGAGCCAGAAGTAAGTCTTGAGCACAGCTGGGTGTGACAGGGGAAAAACTGCCTACAATGGTTGTTATTATCATCTTGCTTTTTGGGTCATACCCAGCAGTGTTCAGGGCTACCTACTTGACTCTGCGCTCAGGGATCACTCCTGGTTGGCTTTGGGAACCATATTTAGTGCTCGGGATTCAACCCGGGGTCAACCACACACAAGGCAAATGCCTAAACTGTACTACCTCTCTCTGGCCTCGCTAATTATTTTATTTATTTATTATTTTAAATTCACTACCAACATTTAAAAAATCAGTCTCTTGAAAAATCTATATTTCTACTTTGTCGATAGCACAGCAGTAGAGTGTTTGCCTTGCACGAGGCCAGCCCAGACGACCCAGGTTCGAGTCCTCGCCCCTCTCAAAGAGCCCCGCAAGCTACCAAGAGTATCTCGCCCTCACGGCAAATCCTGGCAAGCTACCCGAGATAGATATGCCAAAAACAGTAACAACAAGTCTCACAATGGAGACGTTACTCAGCCTGCTTGAGCAAATCGATGAACAACGGGAGATCAGTGACAGCGACAGTGATACTTTGTCTTGAAAAATTAGCAGCTCTAATAATCCCTAAATTCCCGGCCAGGCAGCATCTGGGTGCGCCCACCACATTCAGTCCTTTGAAGCTCTGTTCCCTAGTGTCAGCCCTTGGGACCCCGAATCTGAACCACGCGCTGTCCCAGGGCTCCAGTAACCGGGGAGGAAACCAGCAAGGACTGGGCACCCTCCCCGCCTTTGCGCCCCATCACCGCGCCACGGCTGTCACCGACGGTGCGGCCACTCATCCCAGCCCGGCGCGCAGCTGTAGGACGCGCGTCCCTGCTCTCCGCTGCCCGCGCGAGTCCCGTCGGCGCCCGGAGCCGGGGCCCGGCCGGGCTCGCCCCTCCGCCCGCCCCGGATCCGGCGCGCCCCCGGCTATCCACGTCACGGCCGCGCTCCCGCACCCGCACCCGCTCCCGGCCCGGCGCTCGCACCCGCCGCCCGCAGCATGCCCGCGGCGCCACGCCCGCAGCCCCTGGAGGAGCCGCTGCGCCAGGAGGTAAGGGGCCGCCCGACGGCCGGTGGCCGCGCGTCCACGCCAGGGTCTCGGCCCCGCGAGGTGGCCTGTCCCAGCAGAAAGGACTGCTGGGAACCAGGCCGGGTGCGAGGGACGCGCGCGATGAGCCCCCCCGGGGCTCGGTGCCCGGCGCGCTGCGCCCAGGAGTCCTTCGGGCAGGACGCACGCTCGAGCCCTGGAGCTGTCAATGCGCGCCTCGGAGGCCTGCGTGCGGCCGCTGCTGTCGCGGGGCTGGGGAGGGTCTGTCTCGTCCGGCAGCCGGGAGTCCCTGCAGCAGTTCCGAGCAGCCCCGTTTAGTTGTGGGACTCCAGTCCCGAGCTGCAGCCCCGGGCAGGGGTCCAGTCCCGTTCTGGCGCCGCGTCCCGGGGAGGCCGGAAAAGCGGGGCTCGCGTGTCCGGGGAACGCCCGGGAAGAGGCTGCAGGATGTGGGAGAGCTGAGGCTGCTCAGCTGCCTGCTCGCCCAGCTCGGTTTTCGCTTGGGCCTGAGCGTCGGAAGACGGCGAAAGTTGGAGCTGCCCAACTGTGCTTCTTGGGCCTCTTCTTTTCCTGAGCAAGAGTCCAGGGAGTGGGAAGGGAGGCGGCCCCTACGGATCTGAAGCCTCCGACTCTGATGCCGAGATCTTATCTGTGAATCTCCTGACCATTGGGCCTGTCACCTCGGGGGGATGGTAAACAACACAACTTGGGGGCAACACAGTGCTCTGGGCCCTCTGGGGATTTTCTCTGTGCTGCAGATGTATGTGAGGTTAGGAAAAGGGCCGGAGTGCATCCTTCCCCAGCAGCAGATGGTTGGACCACAGAGCACAAGGCCTTGCTGGAGTATCCTCAAAGCACCTCAACTGTGACCCCAAAAGAATGTTCCCTCCCTGTGCTGGAGAAATAGTAAGTGGATAGGGTATTGCGTAAACTCCTTTGGCTCGGATGACGCTATGAGTGGTCACACGTTAACAGATGTTCGAGGGCTCTCCGGGGGCTCTCCCTCGCCCCCGCGTTCAGCGCTCTTGAACCGCTTCCCAACCTAGGATGGTCGTTGACATGGCGCGGGCAGAGGAAGGAGGAAGGAAGGCTAAGCTGGTGGGTGATCAGTTGCCCTATATTCCGTCTCTCATCTCTCCCCAAACTTTCTCCACAACTCTCACAACTCTCTCCCCAACTCGCCCCCAACTCTCTCCCAGCTCTCTCCAACCCTCTCTCTAACTCGCTCCACAATGCTCTCCACCTCTGGCCACATGTCTCTTTCCCCCTGCCACCCTTCTTAACTCTCCTTGCCGCCACCACCTCAACCACCTCTTCTCTAACACGCCTCCCCAACCATGCCTTCCCCAACCCCAACAAGTGCAATCAACAGGTTTATCAAACCTTCCTGACCACCTGCAGTTCACAAGGGCAAAACAGCACTTATGGTGTGTGTCTCCTTTCCTTAAACCTGTAACTTAATTAACACCTTAATTCTACTTCCTAATATTTGCCATTCTGTATGGACACAGTAATAGACACATTTAGGCTTGTAGGGAGACTCCCTGAGGACATCTCACCACAGACTCAGACTACAATACTCAGACCAGATTAATCATTCCTAACCCTAGAAGGGTCCAAATCTAGTTATTACTTTTAAATCATGACAGAATTTGTCCATGGCCATGCTCTTAAATAAGTATTATGGCACTTTGGCCTGGCCCATTTCGATGCCAGGGTAGTTCACAGCTTGCCCTGGGTCCATCCAGTCCCTCATCAGGACTCTGCTTTGGGGGATCTAGGCTTAAGTAGAGAGAGCAGATATCCATGAGGTAATATTATCTGGAATCAATTAACTCCCAAGTTATCTATTTGTCTTATTAACTGTATTCCTGTGTCCATACAAAAGTTAATTGCTCTGAAGTAACTAATCATGCAAAGGACATTAAGGAGAAGAGGAAAACCATATTTACAAGTCAGCAGAGTCTGATTAGGAGACAAAGGTATTAGACAGGTTGGGGGATCAATCAACAGATCCAAGCTCCCTGTGGCCAGGGAGGAAGGGAAAACCAATGTTATCCTACAGGGCATGTGTGTGCCTCGCCTGCAGTTAACCCCGGTTCAATCCCTAGCACTTCCATATGGTCCCTTGCAGCCTGAGCACCACTAGGTGTGACCCAAAAAAGAAAAGGAAAGAAAGAAAAGAGGAAAAAAGAATGTGCTTTCCTATCTTTCTTTGGTAGGGGGCATACCCAGGGTGCTCAGGGCTTGCTCCTTGCTCTTTGCTTAGGGATTTCTTCTGGGGAGAGCATAAGAGGTGTTGGAGAGTAAGCCTGGTTTGATGACTAGCACCGTAACCTCTGTACTAGCTCTGCAACCTCCCATCCTCCACTCTTTATTGAACAGATCTGCAGCTCTCGGCAGCTGCTCATGGCCCCTGCCTCTTTTCATTGGGCTCCTGTATGCTGTTCAAGAGACCCAATCCATTGGCCTCTCGGCCTGATCTTTCCCAGAAGCTGCGACTCCTAGCAAGTTCATTCTACCATGTGCCTGATCTTAGAGGGCTATATGGAGAGCAGTTCAGGTAGTAAGAGAAGGAAGATTCTCAACCCGGAATGCTCACCCTCAGGGCTGTGCTTTCCTCTGAAAAAACAGGGGGCCTGCGATTTCCAGACTTCTGAGCAAAGAAAAAAAAATAATTAACTTGAGTCTGTTGAAGTCCTTCCATGATGAACTTACTGTTGCTTTGTCTAAAAAGAAAAATTGAAGACTGGAGAGATAGTACAGTGGGTAAATGTGTGAATTGCACACAGTTTACACAATTCAATCTCCTGCATCATATATAGTTCCCAGAGCACTACTAGCAGTGACCCCTGAGTGCAGAGCTAGGAGCAAGCCTTGACTGATTTCTGAGCACAGAGTCAGTAGGAAGTCCTAAGCATCACTGGATGTGGCCTCATTTCTCCCTCCTCCCACCCCTGCAAATAAAATTTAAAAGATAAACAAGAGAGGAATCTAAAACTCCATCATTTGGCTTTTATGCTACTTTTTGGATTTGGGGCCATACACATAGTGCTCAGGGTTTATACCTGCTCAGGGTTCTGAACTCAAGGATCACTCCTGGCTGTTCTTGGGAGACCATATGGGATGCCAGAGATCCAAGCCAGTTCATCTGTGTGCAAGGCAAGTGCCCTGCCTTCTGTACTATCTCTCTAGTCTTGAAAATGGATCATTTGATACCAGGCTTCTTCCTGCATGAGTGCTTGATGTCCTGCTCACAGGCTTAGGTATTTATGTCCCAATCTCCTTTAGAGACCTCCCCACTCCTTGGGAAATCGCATAAAAATAGGGAACCTGGTTTCAACAGGTAATCATCTCTGAATCCCAATTTTCTCAGATAATGGCATGATTGAGTCATTGAGCCATGGACCTGGATCCTTGTCCCTTTGGATTCTGTCCTCAGTACTTGGTGGTCTTTGTGACCAGTTAACCTTCTTAGAAGTTAGTTTGGAAGGGAGCACCAAATAGGATGGGAAATGCGTGATGAGAGTAGACTATAGTCCGAACAAGATTGCCACTCAATGTCTCTTGCAAACCACAGCACTCAAAAGGAGAGAGAACAAAAGGGAATGCCCTGCCACAGAGGTAGGGTGGGATGGGGGAAAGGGGGTGGGAGGGATACTGGGACTGGTGGTGGTGGCGAATGGGCACTGGTGGAGGGATGGGTATTCAATCATTGTATAACTGAAACCCAAGCACAAAAATTTGTAAGTCTACAGCTGTACCTTATGGTGTTTCACTAATAAAAATTTAAGGAAAAAAAAGAAGTTAGTTTGGAGCCAATCAAAAAGAAACTGGCTAGTTTCCTGAAATGTGTGCGTGCGTATGTGTGTGTGTATGCATCTATGCATGAGGTATTGGGGATTAATCTCTGGGTCTCATCCATACAAGGTAAATATTGTACTGATGAGTTACATTCCAGCTCTGAAATGCATTTCTAACACCCCTTTCACATATAGTTGAACCCTGAACAATAGCATAGGAAGGGGAGACTAGGGGAATCTACCCACCTCTGCTGTTGAAAATTTGCATATAGCTTTTGTGTTCGTGTGCGTGTGTGTGTGTGTGTGTGTGTGTGTGTGTGGTGTATGTGTGTGACAGTATTGGACCACACCCAGAGATGCTCAGGGATTACTCCACATTGTGTGTCCATGGATCACTCCTGGTGGTGCCGGGGATTGAATCAGGGTCAACAGCATGCAAGACAAGTGCCTTAATCCCTGTACTGTCTCTTGGGTCTTGCATATAACTTTTGATTTCCCCAGTTCACAGATTCTCATGTCCCTATAGTTGGCCATCAGAATTAGTCATTCTGCATTTGTCACACAAACTGTAACAAGTGCATGTGTGGTTGGTTAATCCCGTGAGTGTGGATTTGCTGATATGGAAGGCAACTGTGAGCATTGACAAAAGTCTGCCTGTAAGTGGTCCCACACAGTTCAGACTTGTGCTGTGCAGGGGTCAGTGATAATGTTCTAGCACCTTTTTATGGAGGGTTCTTTTGGTGCTAGTGAGATCATATCTGCTCCTTTGATGCATTCACCAACTTCTTAAACTTTGAAATAAAAACTGTTCAGATTCTCAACTTTGCTATTGGTTAGCATGGCCCAGGGATTTTTAGAAGTGCATTTAGATTGAAATACAGAAATGTGCCTGAGATTCCGATTTAATTTATCTGAATGTGGCTTGGGCAACAGGAGTTTTCAAGTACAGCCAGAGTCGAGAGCCACAGCCTCTGCCTGATCTCCTCTCGATTCCACCTGTGTTTGGGTGGACATGTTCTTATTGTAAACCTTTTCATCAGCTCTTGGATTACCATATGCTGGGATTCTTGGTCTCCTGGTGATTTGCAGAGAAATTCCTTGCAGGAGAAAAATGGCCAGAACTGAAAGGACTTGGGAGTGTGAATTAAATCGAGTGGCCAAAATTGCCACTCGCTACCTGTCTGAATGCAAGGTTCCGTCCCA